CCAGGCAAGTGGGGTGTGTTCCAACTTGTCAATGGTGGACTGGCTTTGGGGAGTCAGGAAGTGAGTTACACGTCATAATATTCCTAGCCTCTAAACTGCTCTTGTAGTCACTGTATTTGTTTGTTGAGTCCAGTTGCATATCTGGTCAATGGTAACTCCCAGGATGTTGATAACTGGGGGATTCAGTGATGCTAACACCATTGAATGTCAAGAGGACAGTGTTTAGATAGTCTCTTATTGGAGATGGTCAATGCCTGGCACTTGTATGGTGTGAATATTACTTGCCACTTGCCTGGCCAAACCTGGATATTGTCCAGATCTTGTTGCATTTGAACACAGACTGCTTCAATACCTGAGGAGTCGCAAATAGTGCTGAACATTGTACAAACATTGGCAAACATCTCCATTTCTGACTTTATGATGGAGGGAAGCAGCTGATGAAGGTTCAGCCTAGGACAGTACCCTGAGGAACTCCTACAGAGATGTCCTGAAGCTGAGATGACTGATCTCCAACAATGACAATCATCTTCCTAAGTGCCAGGTATGACTCCAGCCAGTGGATAATTTGTCCCCGATTCTCATTTATTCCAGTTTTGCTATGGATCCTTGATGCCAAACTCAGTAAAATGCAGCCTTGATGTCAAGTGCTGTCGCTCTCACTTTCACCATTCTATTGTTCGTATAGAGAGGTAGTCACACCACAGACTGAGACATCACAGGCAAGAAGGGAATGGGTGACGACCTGGCAGAGCAGGAGGGCTGATTAGGCATTGCAGGAATCTCCGGTGGCTATTCTCCTGCGAAACGGGTATACTGTTTTGGATACTGTTGAGGGGAATGGCCTTTCAGGGGATAACAGCAGCAGCCAAATTCATGGCTCCACAGTTGGCTTTACTGCAGAAGGAAAGAGAGATAGGTATAGAAATGCTGTAGTCATAGGGGATTCAATTATAAGGGAATAGTTAGGCGTTTCTGTGACCTAAACAAGGTGTGTTGCCTCCTTGATGTTAGGGTCCTGGATGTCTGAGCGGTTGCAGGATATTCTGGAGTGGGAGGGTGAACAGTCAGTGGTTGTGATACACATTGGTATGAATGACATAGGTAAAATAAGGGATGAGGTCTTAAAAGCAGAACATGGAGAACTAGGAAGAAAGCTGAAATGTCTGAAAAGATGGTGTGAGGGCAGAGAGTTTCAGATTCATGGAGCAGTGGGACTAGTTCTGAGGGAGGTGAGACCTGTACAGGACCGGGATTGATGTCCTTGGGAGCATACTTGGTTGGGGAGGGTTTAAACTAGTGTGGCAGGGGGATAGGAACGAGAGGAGTAGGGTAGTAGATGCAGAAATTGAGGGAGAGGTAGAAACAAAGGCAAACATTACCAGAAACAAGAACAGGCAGGGAAACACTGCTGAAAAGAGCAGGGGAGATGGTCTGAAATGCATGTATTTCAATGCAAGAAGTAAATAGGCAAGGTACAACTTAGAACTTTAGTTAGTACTTGAAACTATGACATTATTGCGATTCCAGAAAGACGGGTGAAAGAGGGACAGGACTGGCAGCTGAATGTCCCAAGTTTCAGATGTTTCAGGTGTGATAGAAAGGAAGGTAAAAGGGCTGGGGGAGTTACATTACTGGTAAAGGAGTATCTCACAGCTGTACTGAGAGAGGATACATCAGAGGCAATATGAGTAGAACTCAGTTATAAGGAACAATGAAATCACAATACTGGGGTATACTACAGGCCTCCCAACAGCCAGTGGGAGATAGGGGAGAGAATATGTAAACAAATTTTGGAAAAATGTAAAAACAGCAGGGTTGTTGTTGTGGGTGATTTTAACTTCGCCTATATTGACTGGGAATCACTTCATGCTAGATGCTTGGATTGGGCAGAATTTGTAAGGACCATTCAGGAGGGATTCTTGACACAATATGTAAACAGTTCAACCAAGGAGGAGGTTGTACTGGGCCCGAGATAACACAGTATGGAGCTGGAAAAGGCAGCATCAGAGGAGAGGAAAGTTGACATTTCGGGTCAGGATCCTTCTTCAGAAATGGACAGGGGGAGAGAGAGTTCGGAAATAAATAGAGAGGAGGGGTGGGCTGGAGAAGGTAGATGGAATGGTGATAGGTGAGTGCAGGCAGGCAGTGGTGGGGATTGGTCAGTGAGGTGGGAGGAGCAGATAGGTGGGAGAGAAGATAGACAGGTTGTGTTGCGTCAAGGAGGCAGGGATGAGAGAGAGGGTTGGACATGGGATGAGGCTGGGGGTGGGGAGATTTTAAAACTGGTGAAATCCATCTTTAGGCCATCGGGCTGTGGGAGGCGGAATATGAGGTGCTGCTCCTTCAGTTTGCGGGTGGTGTCATTGTGACACTGAAGGGAGGCCCTGGTTTTGGAAAATGAGTCCGGCCAGATGAGTGAAGTTTCAGTGGGAAAGCATTTCGGGAGTAGTGACCACAATTAGTGAGTAGTGACTGTGAGTTTTAAGATACTCATGGATAGGGATAACAGCAGTCCTCGGGTGAAGGTGTTAACTTGGGGCAAAGCGAATTACAACAACATTAGGCGGGAACTAGAAAATATTGATTGGAGGCAGCTGTTTTGAGGGTAAATCTACATCAGACAAATGGGAGTATTTCAAACGGCAGTTGATAAGAGTTTAGGAGAGACACATTCCTGTGAGAATGAAGGATAGGTATGGCAAGTTATGTGAACCTTGGATGACCTTGGTCAAAAAGAAGGAGGAAGCATACGTAAGCTTTAGGAGGATGGGAACTGATGAAGCCCTTGAAGTATATAAGCAAAGTAGGAAAGAATTTAAACAAGGAATCAGGAGGGCTAAAAGGGGTCATGAAAAGTTGTCAGCAAACAGGATTAAGGAGAATCCCAAGGCTTTTTATATGTACATAAAAAGCAAGATGGTAGCCAGGGAAAGGGTTGACCCACTCAGTGACAAAAGAGGGAATCTATATGTGGAGCCAGGAGAGGTAGGTGAGGTCCTAAATGAATACTTTGTGTCAGTATTCACCAAAGAGAAGGAATTGGAGAAGGATGATCTCAGGGAAGAGAGTGTCGAGTTTCTAAGCCAAGCTGCTATTAAAAAGAAGAGGCGTCTTAAGGTAGATAAGTCCCCAGGTCCTGATGGGATCTATCCCAGAATATTGAGGGAGGCAAGATAACAAATTACTGGAGTATCGACAGACATGTTCGTATCCTCTTTGGCCACAAGTGAGGTCACAGAGGACTGGAGAATAGCCAATGTTGTCCCATTATTTAAAAAGGATAGTAGGGATGATCCTAGAAATTACAGACCTATGACTCTCACATCAGTGGTAGGGAAATTATTGGAAAAGATTCTCAGGAACAAGATCTATACGCATTTAGAAACAAATGGACTTATTAGTGATAGACAGCAGGATGATGAAGATGATTGATGAGGGTAAAACGGTTGACGTTATCTACATGGACTTCAGTAAAGCCTTTGACAAGGTCCCTCATGGCAGACTAGTTCAAATGATGAAGTCACATGGTATCGGGGTCAGCTGGCAAGATGGATACAGAACGGACTTAGCCATAGGAGACAGAGGGTAGTTGGTGGAAGGATGCTTTTTGGAAAGGAGGGCTGTGACTAGTGGTGTTCCACAGGGATCGGTGCTGGGACCTCTGCTGTTCACGATCTATATAAATGATTTGGTGGAAAATGCAGCTGGTCTAATTCATAAGTTTGCAGATGGTACAAAGATTGGTGGAGTTCCAAACAGTGAGGAAGGCTGTCAGAGGATACAGCAGATATAGATCAGTTGGAGGCATAGGCAGAAAAATGGCAGATGGAATTTAATCCAGACAAATGTGAGGTGGTGCATTTTTGAAGGTCAAGTACAGGTGGAAATTATATGGTGAACGCCAGACCCCTTAGGAATATTGATATGCAGAGGGATCTGGGTGTACAAGTCCAAAGATCACTGAAGGTGGCAGCACAGATAGATAAGGTTGTCAAAAAGGATTATGACATGCTTGCCATCAATGGAAGGGGCATTGAGAATAAGGATAGGCAAGTTATGCTGAAATGTATACAACTTTAGTTAGGTTGCAGTTGGAATATTGCATACAGTTCTGGTCACCACACAATCAGAATGATATGGATGCTTTGGAGAGGGTAGAGAAACCAGGTTGTTGCCTGGTATGGGGGATTTCAGAATGAAGAAAGACTGGATAGACTGGGTTTGTTTTCACTGGAATGCAGGAGGTTGATAAATTGTGAATGGTATGGATAGAGTGGAAAGTATGAGGCTTTTTCGCAGGGTGAAGGGGTTAATTATTAAGGGACACAGGTTCAAGGTGTGAGGGGGGAAGTTTAAAAGAGATGTGCAAGGCAGATTTTTCACACAAAGGGTGGTGAGTGCCTGGAACATGTTGCTAGAGAAGGTGGTCGAAGTAGACACAAATAGCAGCATTCATGAAGCACCTGGACAAATACATGAATAGGAAGGAAAGAGAGGGATACAGATCCTCTAAGTGAAGACAGTTCTAGTATCTAAGGACGAAATGTGGTGGAGCAGGCTTGGAGGGTCGAAGGGCCTGTACCTGTACTGTATTGTTCATTTTTCCAGTGACTCTCAGCTCCTGTCGCTTCCCAGTATTCCAATGACCCTCTCCTCCTCCTATCCCTTCTCATTGTTCCAGTGATCCTCGCCTGCCCCTCACCGCTATTGCAGCAATCCATTCTACTATACACTATTGTTCTCGCTATTCTGAAGACCCACGAGGCAGCTGACGGTCCAGATCTCCAGACTTCTAGCACTACCACCATTCTCCAGCACGACCACCGAATACCGCTCATCCCATTTAGCCCCTCCCCCTCTCACCTGGCTCTTGCCATCGTGTCCGGAGCGGTGTCACTAGTGGCTGGTGCATGTCGGGAGTTGTAGTCCTGATTGCGCCTGACCCTCGTTCATTTAAGCTTTAGGATCCATCAGCCAAGACTACAATCCCAGCGTGTCGAGCACTGGAAGCTGGAGTCAGCGCACCTGCTGCAGTGGGTTCGAGCGAATGGAGCAGTGAGGGAGCTGCAGTAATTAATTCCTGTTGATAAACTCAGAGAGAAAATAACATTTAAAGTACAGATCTCGTATTGGGAAAACCGAAACGAGTGTAGAAAATATCAATTGTAATTTATGTCTTGGATTTGGAACAGACAGTTAAACTCTTGGATACCTATATTTTAACTGACCTGTTTATCATTGTGTTATTTAATATTTGAGTTTTGATGTAATTCGAAGAAGCTGCTGAGGTTTAAACGAAGACTCCAAATGAATTAACAATCTGTGCTCATAATCCGATACTTGCTGAATGGACTTTGACGCTTCGGAATGCCCAGGAAGTACTTTTGGATATTGCAGTGAATGTATCAGATTTTCTGATACAAACTGACCTGAGTTTGTAACCCTGTGGCACCTATTGGAAGGCGAAAAACAACAATAACGGTCTTCAAAGAGCCCCAATAAAATGTGGAAGAGCAAGCAATTTCTGTGGATTCGAAGTTTCTGCTCAGCGCTGTCTCTCTGTGTACCGATGAGCAGATTTGGAAATGCTGAAGAAAATGATTTGAAGATAGCTGGAACCTCAAAACCAGGTAAGATCAGTCCGTATCAGTATTCAGTAGGTCGCATCAATTTGTTTGTGTAATTTCATTGTCAATATAATTTGTTCCATCTGTATATATTTTTGGAGAATGCAAGCTGATAATCTTTTGGTGATAAGCTGTTTGTAATCTTAATCTAATGCAGAAAGTGTATAGATCAAAAACAACTTGCATGCATATTGTGCTTTTGGTGTAAAAAAGACATCCCAAGACACATTGCAAAGGTTTAATCTTAAGAAGTGAGTGAGAAGTTCATAAATTGCCCAAATTGGTTTAATCACCTACTGTTTTGACTCAAACCATCAAAGTTTTTCCATCCAGTTAAAAGGATCTGAGTTCTGAAACTATAAATGCAGTTTAAAATATGATTTAAGATCAGCCTTTAGAATAAGAGGGTGCTATCTTAGATATGTGAATTTTAGGTCAAATAGTGTTTAAGTGTTGTCACTAATATTACAAAGACTTTCCCTGAATTGACCACCATTGTGGAGAACTGATGCCTCTAACCGTTCCTGCAATGCTTAAAGAAAACTACTGGGTAGGGACAGTATTGTTCAGATGGTATAATATAGAGAATATCTTGCCAAAACTCATTACCCAGGCTTACACACCATAGATGATCATATAGATAAAGTACTGGAAGGCTGCTAAAGTTTGTGGAACTTCATACCGGCAAATTTTTGTACCTTCAAGAGAACAAAGGAGAACATCAGAAAAATAAAAGTGAAACTTTGAGATCAAGAATATATAAAATGTAATGAAAACAGAAAGTATTGGAAATGTACAGAAGGTATGACAGCATCTATAAAAATAGAAACAGCATTAACGTTCCAGGATGATGACCTTTCATCAGAACTGGAAGACATTCAAAGTTCTGAAGAAAGGTGATTGACATGAAATGTTAACTCCGTTTTTCTTTATATAGGTATTGTCTGACCGGATCAGAGTTTCTAATGTTTTATGCATGTACTGTGGGACTAGTCAGGTTGCAAATATTAATGTGGTATTTGGATTGTTTTACCTGCTGCACTTTTATCCAGTTGAAAAGACAGAACCATACTCCTAGCTTGAGTAAGAATTATATTATTACTATAATGTTGCCAGTCAAATAGGAAGCAGTTGTTGGGGGAGGGGGAGGTGCTTGAGGATTTTGGGTCCATGAGATAATACTGGCCAGCTTGTGGCCCATTGTATTTCAAAAATTAATTATTTTTTAAAGTGTTCAATATCACTATTGATTATGGACTTTCTTCCCATTATGGTATTCAGTGCAAATAATTTGTTCTTGTGGCCCTGGGGAGACTTCCTGAGGGGAAGCTTGACCTGCTGGACAAGGACACAGTTGTTCAGGAACTTACATATTGTGGTTGACTCTCAGAACCATGGGAACAGTGTTACACAGTTTCGGTTCACCACCATGCCCTTAGGCAGTTCTCCCATGCCACACCTTTAATTGTTTTGTTTTCCTACCTCCATCTGTCATTTCTGGAAATTTATCTATTTTAGGCTTACAAGAGTCTGTGTGACATGTTATATGAGCAGTGGGAGAGGAGCTTAAAGTGCTGCACTGTATCATGTGAGCATGAGTCAGAAATTGGCAGGTACAGCAGTATTTACACAACACCTGTTGCTCAGTTAGATTTATACTGTGTGTCTCCAGGTAATGGAAAGGTACAAAGTACCTGTGTACAGAACGATTAGTTTGACTGACTGGCTTGAATGTTAACCCTTACACCACTAAGCTGAATGCACATCTTCCTCCTTTTGACTTTTTTTCCCTTCCTTTCTCCCTAGAAAATATATATGATGGATATTTGCTTGCAACATTGTAGAAGAGCTTGCATAGTTTGCACTCGTAGACTACTGCAGTTTTGCAGACTTTTTGTGTTCTATGATATGTAGTAGTTGTTTATAACTAACTATTTAATCCAGCAGTCCCCTGTCAGGCCTTGATTATAGAATACATCTGTCATTAGGCTACACATTCTCTGGAGACAAAAAGAGAAATTGCCAGAAAAACTCAGCATGTCTGGCAATATCTATGGAGAGAAAGCATAGTTAACATTTCTAGTGCAGTGACCCTACTTCAGAACAGATTGTAGCTAGGAAAGGATTGGTATGTATGCTGAAGATGGGGTGGGGAGACTCATCATTTTTCAGCATTTAACTTTTAATTTAATCTTTTAATTGGTTTTCAGCAAAGGTTTTAAAATTCATTACTAAATTATTCTCTATATATTTTCATTATTTGGGAAAAAAAGTCTTGACTTTGTCAGGATGAATTAGTGTAGATTTTTATTAGAAAAATACAAGTGCATAGAGTTTGTTTGTTTATGGCATGGGTTAGTCATCGCTTAGGATGTTGGAGTTTTTGGGAATGTGCCTTAACTGACATGATCATCTTGAGATCAGATAAGACATTAAGGTTAAAAACAGGGAGATAGGTGAAGGCAGTGGTTTGGAAACTGAATTTGTTGTGGAATGGAAAACGATGACTTTGATATTCCTAATATTTAACAAAAGAAGATTTATGCTCGTCTAGTACTGTTCTCCTGGGTATTGGGTGGTGATTTTAGAGATTAATGCACTTTGCTGTCCTACATATTCAGGTTGAAATATTTGAGTTCTTACATAGTGGCAAAACTTGGATTTCTTATCAAGTACATTGAGTGTAAGAATGCCTCGAGTTGATTTTGTGCAGATCTGGGTATCTGGCAGAGAACTGGAATCCAGTGTAATTGGCTATCTCATACACTCAGACATTTGGCTTCAAAATTCTACAAGTATGGTTTGTGGTTCATTTGGAGCTCTGGCATGCCTGGTGTTGTCTAGCTACTCAATGGCTTTGACCTGGTAGGACCAGTGTGTTGCACAAGTGAACCTGAGTGCGTTAACTGGGGACGTAACACAAAAGCTGAATGACTGAACATTTAGTTGGATAAAGCTGGTGAGATGTTTTATGTAATGGATCAAATCTGGTTGTAGTTGAATTGTGTGTCAGGCAGCTATAAAAGAATTTGTAAAACCTGAGGCACAGACATTACTTTCCTTTTTTGTAATATGTATTGACAGATTTCTCATGTGTTGATGTCGATCGCTTCTATGACCATTATGTGTGGACAAAGCAGGAGCAGAAACATCATTTGTTTTGTCCTCTGAGCAAGGAACTGCTGCAGTTGATACCATCTGCCTCAGGATTCACTGTCGAGTGGAGCAAGAACTGCCTTCCTTTTAACATTAACCAGAGTTCACATATAACTAACAGGACCTATCCAAATGGGACTGCATTTCTCACATTCCATACCCTCCACAACACTGATGCTGGGAATTACACTTGCGTAGTCAGCTTGAACGGACAGAGATATCACTCCTTCACCATGCAACTCCGATTAGAAGGTAAGGATTTAGCAACTCAATGTTGTAAATGGTTTATAAAATCAAAGGACCAATTAAAATTCTGTGTTTAGCAGAGCCTGGTTTGGAAGAGCATTGGTTTGAATGGGCAGGTGGACAACACCAATTTGAAGAGATGGGGAGATGAAAGCAACTTCCTATTTTTCATCCTTAAGTCCTTTGAGAGGTCTACTGCAAAGTAATGCAGGTTTATAAATGTTAGGAAAGTAATACCTTTGTATGATTTTGTTTTCTTTGGTTGCATGAAGTATTGAAGTCACTGTGCCCATGCATTGCTTGTGGTGTGAATGGTGGTCATAAGTGTGTGCCAGATACATATGTGCCTGAATGGGATAGTTGATGAAGTGATTGCCAGCATGGAAAAAAATGTTGTGTGAAGCCAGTGAGACTGAAACATGTGCCAGAAACACCAAGAATGATGTTGACATTCGGCAACAAATGAAGCAGGCGCTCAATACGGTGCATAGACCCTCTCTCCCTCCCCCATTCCCCCCCAGTGCTGTGTTAACTCAGTGTTATTACTATAATGCAGCTCTTTCTTGGTTTATTTTTCTGCCTGCTTGATACTCTGTAACTACGAAATTGAAAACAAAATTAATTAAGACTTTTAAAAATTATTATTAAGAGCTTGAGGAGGTTTCAGGCCAACCACATCAAATAACTTGCTCTGAAAATGCAGCTTACATTTTGACGGTTGTGACAAATTTCATCTCAGCAACTGAGACAATGCATGGCATTCTGGAAAAAAACAAGACCATACAAAATAGGATACATTGACATTTTAAGAATATTGTAGGCTATCTGCCTGTTCCTTTTTAAAAAAAAACCTAGAATCCAAGTTCAGATCAACATCTTTGCTAAAAATTTAAGTTTTTCCTTGGGCCATTCCTAAGTTTCATTAAAATCCATCCATTCATTTTGAAATCTACGGCACATAAACATTACCTCTACCCATATTCAGTGGTGGGGGTAGTTAGGTGCAAAGCTGACCTAGGTCTAGGGGGAGACTGCATTTGCATTCTACTGTTAGGTAGATTTAGGTCTTACTGTAGACATCACAGAGCTCTTCTGGATTTCTTTGCTCAGGCCACAGAATTTCATGGAATTATCCATGAAAACTTAAACTAAAGGAATGCTCTTGTCCACATATTTCACTAAATCAAAAATCACAGTACCTTCAACAAGGCCTGGTAGCTAGTAGCAAACTACTGTTCAGTGAGTTGTTAGATCAAGAGCTGACCTTGCTGGCACATGGCATGTAAACATGTCCTACTCCCTAAATGTAGGAATATTCAGCAATGAGCTGTTGTAATTTCCCTGCATGGGTTGTGTGTGGTCCTGCAAACGCATTCCAACAATTTTTTTCCATCCCTTCTTCAAGCAGCACACTGTCTGCATTGTGTTTGGATCCATGTAAATAGTATGGTTTAAAGTCTGGTACATTATTTTCAGTGTGTCTGATCTTGAATTTCTGTGAGAAAACACTAACCTGCATTCCTGTTCCTGCTTGATATCTAGTGATTTCAACTGGAAAGTACAGACCTCAAATGAGGTAGAAATCAATTTGGATGTGATGTCCACTCTCATGATATTACACACACTGTCCTGACATCAAATGTGATGAGTATCCATTTGGATGAGGTGCATTAAAGTGACTCCTGGGCAAAGTTCAACCATTTTGGGGAAAGAACAAAGGCTCCATAAGAAATCTAACTCTGTCCTGACACACTAAGTATGGTTGAACTTATGAGGAGTGGTTTTTTTGTGCAAATCAAATTACAAAACTGTTGATGTGACCTTCAAACAAATCCGTTTTGGTATCTTTTGGAGTAGTGCTGCATCTCTAAAAACATGGTAGCTGCATCTTAATCAGAGGTGCTGGATTCAACCTTCTCATTCTTCTTTCAGTTCACTGAGCCTGGATGTGTTATGTTAAGCTTGAATTATTAGGTTACTGTTGTACTCTTGTTTGCCTAAAAAGCTTGTTGCCTGTTTGTCTTGTGCTGAGAGTCAACATCAGTCTTGGGAATAATAACAGCATAGTTAATAGTGTGGAGACAATGACTGTGTGACAATTTTATTAATGAGTTGGGAATTGCTATTATTCTGCAGAATCAGTTATCTTGTATATTTTGCCTCTTCATAGTGCTGCCACTCTTTCACCCATCCCCCACAACGTGATGAAGTCATGATATTGTCATTGGACTAGTAACCAAAAATCCAAATAATGTGCTGGCAACTAGGGTTTGAATCACACCATGGCAGATTCTGGAATTTTAATTCAAGCAAGGTGGAATTAATGGTCTAATGTTGATCATGAAACAATTATCAATTGTCATAAACACCCATTTGTTTCACTAATGCTCTTTAAGGGAGAAAATCTAGTGCCATTCTCTGGGCTGATCTACATGTGACTCCAGACCCACCACAATTAAGTTGACTCTTAAATGTCTTCTGCAAATGGCCTAAAAAGCCACTTGGTTATATTGAACCACAGAAAATTCTCAAAGCAATGAGAAAGAACTACCAGGCGTCAGCCTTGACACTGGAAACTACAATGGAAAACTTGGCCCAGCTGACCTGCAAAGTCCCCTTCCCTATCATCTGGGGGCTAGTGCTAAAATTGGGTAAGCTTTCTCACAGATTAGTCAGGCCACAGTCTGATTTACTGGTGGTGGTTAATAGATGAAAAAATAGCACGGGTTATTTGGTGATGGTGGGGGTGGGGTTGGAAATGCGGGGAAGGTTCAGTTGTGTGTAAGAGCACTTCTGGGTATTAAATAAAAGAGAGAAAAGATTTTAACAAGGGTTGTTGTGGTGATTGGAGGTCCAGGATAGCTCTGCAAGAGTTCCTCAGAGCGGTGTTCTAGGCTTAACTATCTTCAGTTGCTTCATCGGTAACCTTCTGTCCATTCATAAAGTCAGAAGTGGTGATATTCACAAATTGATTGCACAGTGTTTGGTACCTTTCATATCTCCATAGATGTTGAAGCATTCTTTGTCCAAATGCTGCAAGATCTGGATAATATCCAGGTTCAGGCTGACAAGTAACATTTGAGCCACACAAGTGCCAAGCAGCGAACATCTCTGACTGGGGAGATGACCATCATCCATTGACATTCCGTTGTGTTACTGCTGCTGAACCCTTGACTATCAACATGTTAAGAAGTGTCATTGACTTGAAATTTAAACTGAACTGGTCCTATAAATACTGTAACTAGAAAAGCATGTCAGAGGCTAGGAGTCCTCTTATGAGTAACTCACTTCCTGACTCCCCAAGCTTGTCCACTATCTACAAGGCAGAAGTCAGGACTATGATGAAATACTTTTCACTTGCCTGGATGAGTGTAGCATTAGCTACAGTCAAGAAACCGACACCATCCAGGCATGTACGATGGGCAATAAATGCTGACCCAATCAGCCCACTTCCCCTGATTGTATAATAAAAGTATTTAGGTTGCTAGACAAGCGATCTAACCTTGGATAACCTTATGTCTGAATCGTATATCCTCATCCAACCTCTGCACAATCACTTTTCAGCCAGATCACTATGTAATAAGTAGGAGCAGGAGACCAGTTTGGTATCTGTTCCCCCTTTCATATTCAGGAATAGTCATGTCAATTAGATAATGCAAAGTATCACTTGGCAAAGTTTAACTTAATGTGGATTGGAAGTTGAACCTCAAGTTTGCTGAGTTGTTTTTATTGTACTGTGAAAATTGAGTGTGCTTTTTATAAAAGGAGAGTGGGAATAAGTGAATCTCTCTTATTCAAGATCACACTCTTTCTCAGATAATCTAGCATGTAGTACATGTTTAAACCGAATGTTAAAAATTGAATCATTGTACAGTACTTCCTTTAATTATTTAGCATGAACATACATGAACATTGACTACTCAGGTAATATTCTATGGAGCACTTGGAGCTGCAGATAAATTTGCTAGTAAATATATGTGCAGAAAATGGAGAGAATTGTTGAATTCCTTTGTCCAGATAGGGCAGAAATGCAGATTTTATTTTTGTTTATAGAAGCTGCCTGATCAGTTGTTCATTTTGTTGCTTAGTTTTTGTGATTTGGCGGCAAATAATTAGGCTGTTCCTGGCTGGGCTGCATGCTAGCCCACAGAAGTGCACGTCTTCTCCCTATAAAAGACATCATGATGGGATCGCATGGTGGCTCAGTGGTTAGCACTGCTGCCTTACAGCACCGGGGACGTGGTTCGATTCCAGCCTTGGGTGACTGTCTGTATGGAGTTTGCACATTCTCCCCGTGTCTGTGTGGGTTTCCTCTGGGTGCTCCGGTTTCTTCCCACAATCCAAAGATGTGCAGGTTGGGTGGATTGCCATGCTAAATTGCCCATAGTGTCCAGGGATGTGTAGGTTGGGTGGATTAGCCATGGGAAATGCAGGGTTATAGAGTAGGGTTCCAGGTGGGATGTTCTTCAGAGGGGTGGTGTGGGCTCGATGGGCCGAATGGCCTGCTTCCATACTGTTGGGAATCTGTGATTAAATGTGGAGGTGCTAGTGTTTTCAAATATTGGACTATAAACTGGTGTCATGTGATTTTTGACTTTATAAAAGACATCATGTAGATCCCATTCTTTTGTGAAAGGGCATTCTAAATCCCTACAATGAAATAATGGGTTTTGTGCTGAAATGTTGTGCAGTAATGTGTCTTTGTCTTTGTCTTTGTCTTTGTTTAGATAGTCGCTGTGACGTAGCTCCTACATTCCTGTCTCCCTCTGGAAATCAGACTTACAATCTTCCTATTGGCTCATGGATGATGTTGAATTGTACAGTGAAGCTACTCTATGACCAGAAGTTCAATTGGTGTGACCCAAGCATCGAGTGGAGTAAGGATGGGCATGTGATCATGAACAGTAGTAAATACACCTGCACTGAGGAGACCAGGTAATAATTCTACCAATTTATAATTCCATCTTCTGCAGCAGCATATATAGATAGTTAACATGGTATTGTTGCTCAGGTCCTCCTGTCTATCTAGATTAATCGTATAGAACAATAGTTCTTAGGCAGGATTAATCTCCACTGTTACTTTACTTTCCCAAATCCATCCCCCACTATCAAATGAGCTCTCGGGAATGATTTGATTTGATTTGATTTATTGTTAGGTGTACCTAAGTGAAAAGCTTCATTTGCAAGCAGTTTAGGTAAATCATAGTAAGCAAGGACATACAGATCGTAGGGTGAAAAGCAAACTTGGACAGAGTAAGGCATACAAGTTCCACTGTGCACAAGGCAAGATTAGCATTACTTAAAGTTAGACAGTCCATTCATCAGTCTAATAACAGGAGGGAAGAAACTGTTCTTGATCCTGCTGGTGCATGTGTTGAATCTTCTGTACCTACTGCCTGACGGAAGAGGTTGTAGGAAAGCAGTACTGGGCTGGGGTGGGGTGGGTCGGGTCTTTGATGATTTTGGCAGCCTTTCCGCGGCAATGAGACATGTAAATGGAGTCTGTGGATGGGAGGTTGGCTTCCGTGATAGTCTGGACTGTGTATACAACCTTCTGTAGTTTCTTATGGTCCTGGGCAGAGCAGTTGTCATACCAGCCTGTTATGCACCCAGACAGTATGCTTTCTATGGTGCATCTGTAGAAGTTGGTGATGGTCCTTATGGACATGCCAAATTTCCTAAGCCACCTTAGGAAGAAGAGGCATTGTTGTGCCTTCTTGACCAAAGCATTCACATGGGAAGTCCAGGACAATTTGTTGGTTATCGTCACTGCTAGGAACTTGAAGCTCTTAACCCTGTCAAGGGCTGTCGAGGTTTGGGTATGAAGAATGTGCTACATTAGTGATGTATAACAGGCAGACTGAACTTGTCAATTTGTACACTGCATCAGCTCCTCTAAGGCAAGGTGGTAGAGAAAAAAATGGGAAATCATAGAATCATACAGCCCAGAAGGAGGCCATTCTGTCCACCATGCCTGTGATAATGTTTTGGTAGAAATATTCAGTTAATACCAGTTCCCTGCTCTTTCTCCATACTCCTAATTTGTTTTCCCCTTAAGAGTTTATCAAATTTTCTTTTGGATGTTAGTGTTGAATCTGCTTCCACCACCTTTTGGAAAGTGCATTCCAGATCTCAATGACACACTGTAAAAGAAAAGTTACCTTATCTTATTTCTCATTCTTTGTAGGAATTTTAGCAGTTAAACAGATATAAGAGATGTCAGTTACTCAAAGTAATTACCTGAAGCCTCTTTCATCAGTTCTTCTTCTGCATCGGAAGGACCAGAACTTTATTTGGAGGAGGAAAGGATAAGAAACTTATTGTTTTCTTTTTCAGTGTGCTGTTTGGGGGACGCAGATTGAACAAAAATAATTGTGTCCCCCACTGATTATTTTCTAGGTTCTATTATCATAGAATGATGCACCACTGAAGCGGGTCATTCGGCTTATTGAGTCCGTGTCACCCTTTTGAAATAATTATTCAATTAATCCAATGCCCTGAAAATTTCCTCAAAGCCCTGAATATTAACTCCTCTGTATTTAGCCAGTCCCCTTTATGAAATAATTGGATCAGTTTCTACCAGTCTTTTGGGTGGTGCATTCCAGATCTTAACCTACTTTGTATTCTTTTACAAAAACAAAGTTGCTGGAAAAGCTCAGCAGGTCTGGTAGCATCTGTGGAGGAGAAAACAGAGTTAACGTTTCGGGTCCGGTGACCCTTCCTCGGAACTGAGGAAGGGTCACTGGACCCGAAACATTAATTCTGTTTTCTCCTCTACAGATGCTGCCAGACCTGCCGAGCTGTTCCAGCAACTTTGTTTTTGCTCCTGATTTACAGCATCCACAGTTCTTTTGGTTTTTATTTGTATTCTTTTAGTCTATCTTAGGTTCCAGCTACATTGGCTTACATGGCATTCTTCCTTGCTGCATTCTTAAGGTATTGAATTCAAGACTCCTACTAAACTTCATTTTACTAGACTGCAGTCTGATATTACTTGCCCCTCACTCTGCTTTTCTTTTTATGGTCTATGGCTTGGCTTCATCTAATTGCTACTTTTCTATTTGTCTTATCTTCGTGATGCTCCAGACTGTCAGTCTGAACCCTGCGTCCAGGATTCTCAATTTAAAAGAAGTATAGTGAGTAACCATGCTATTTGATCATCGAGGACACCTGAGCAAAGCATGATACCGACTGCATCCGATTTCCACATTTTCAATTCGATGAAAATGGCTGAATTTTTGTTTTCTCTGGCTCAACAGCATTGAGGCCAAACATAACACCTAACTGTTCAATTATTTGTGATTAGTGAACTCCACAACAGGGAATAAGCCTGGCATCTTCTGGTTTATTCTATGGAATCTGTGACTGTTACTGCCTGGAGTGCAGTGGAGACAGAATCAATCAACAGATTCTAGAAAGAAATAGATATGTTTGATGAAAAGTGGGATAAAGGGCTATGGGGAACAGGCAGGAAAGCGGAGCTGAGTCCAGGAAAAGATAGGCCATGATCACATTAAATGATGAAACGGGCTCAAAAGGCTGAATTGCCTCCTCATGCTCCTAATTCCTATGTTCCTATGGCTTATTTGCTTCGGTATCTCTCTGGGTACCATTGAATAGTTTATTATTGCGCATTCTTGGAGCCCTCTCCTTTCATAGATTTTCTTTTACTCCAGACATTTTGATAGCATGTGATCTATTTGGATTAGTTTTTGCATTAAATCAAACTCTGTTTGCATCTGGAACTTTTTAGTAGGTAAATTCCAGTATAAGCGCAGACTCAGCACTACTTGGCTCAGTCTGTACAAGCCATTGTATCTGATATTACCTATATAGTTGTAGAGTAGTGTTGTCCAATAACTATCACTGACTAGCCAGAAGTGTGACTCCAGCACATCATTTTTGTCATATGCTCTAAGATTAGTAAAAAGCACCATACATGCAACACAGGTTAATATGCTTCATTGTGTATATTTAAGCAACAAACATCTGCTACCATTCTGTGTGAAATTTTGCAGCTTTGCTTTCTCACCAAAGCTTAGAATTCAGGAATGATTTTATCATACCTTTTTGTTCAGCACACAAGATTGCGTTCAACAGTTGCAAGCAGTATTTAGACTTTGGAATGATTACTGAAGACACTGATTTGCACAATAAGCAGTGCCAAACTCTCCAGAAAGTACTTTACTATGACCCATCTATTGAAAGTATACATTATTAGTTGGTTTACTTTCAGCTGCTGGCCTGGCTTTCTAGTTGACCAAGATGATAGCTGTCTTGCCCACATAACATTACTAGTGTTTCAGTGGTGCTGAAGTCCAGCCCTCTAACTTGTGTTACACAACTTTTTGGCAGAAAACTAGCAATTGATATCTAATAAAGTAAAGTCCATGCAACAGTCAAAAACAATTGAACTCTGTCTTTCATCTAGCCATTTTACTGACAGACAAGCAAAATGTTAAGAGTATGTCTGTGTGTCATGTAATGTGAATATTGAGGTCACACATCCACCAAAGGAGTCAGTTGCTTTTTATTTATTAATCAAAAATGCAATTAGCTACACCTGGCTAATGTGTTGGACAACATTGCTGTATAGTGCTGAAAATGCTAATGAGGCATGCAGCATTTTATATCCACAAAAGTACTTGTTCAGCGTTTTTTAAAGTGGCCAGCTGCTCTTTACATCAAAGGACAGAATAAACTGTATTTGTTATTGCATTCAATGGAATTGTTCAAAAATGCTGTCTATTATATACATCAAAATAAAGAGTAATGATGGGGAGGTGTTCTAACTTGATAGCAAACTACTTGTACTTCAAGAAAGTGATGTTGACAAATATTTTTATTCACCTACCTTTTAAACGTAATATTGTGGAGTATTTTTAGTGAACAACTACCTGCTATGTACCTCGTCCACCACTGGAACCCCCACTGTACCCTTACAGAATTACCTTCTTGTTTAAGAACTGCATTTCAATTCAGTCATCGGCTTCAGATTCTTCAATATCTGAAGTTTCTAAATCCACCTGATTTCAGAAGATGATTACTGATTGTAGCCTTTCAAAGATACTACCCAGATTTGAGTATTATGCTGCCTCTTAAACATTTATGTTTCTAAAAAGAAATCTGAACTAGGCTTCCCAGTAAATGAACAAGTAAATGAGTACCTAGTATGCTGCTGAGGTGCACAGATTAAACTCAGTCTCTGGCCTGTAATAAATTATCTGATCACAGCCAACGCATTACAGTGGACCATTATTTTCTGGGCTATTGAAGATAACTACCCTACCCAAAAATTTCCTGATCTGAGTACCAATCAGCATGCTGAGTGAGAAAGGTTGACAACCTGAATGGGAAACAGTTAATCCTCAAAGTTTGTTTACCTGGTTAGCCCAGTTTAAAATCTGCTCCCCAATATTATGTTACGGACCCACAAGAAGAAGTTACGCAGAATCGACCCAACACAATTCCTTGTAGCAGACCTCAACTTTAAATGAAAAAAAATTAATGGTTGGTTCTTCGGTCAGATGTCTAGAGATGAGAAAGGTGTGGATGTGAGTTGTAGCAATGATGGGGGTAAATAAAAGGCAGAGTGTGGATTTGGTTTCAGCAGAGTGAAGTGAGATAGACAGAGCTGAGCAGAGTTATGACGGTAGAAATATGATGATGGACTTTGAAGGGTGAAACAAGACATGGTCCCTCAGTGCTTCATTGCCATTGAATTAAAATGAAGCCCTTGTGATTTTGTAGATAGACACAACAACCAATTTCCACCCAATACAGATGCATAGGAAAAGCTAAAATAAATGGTCAGGCGGTATATTTTCCTGCTTTTTAGTTGAGAGATAAATATTAAGTAGGATTTCAGGAGACTTTACCTGAACTTCAAATAGTACTATGTACATTTATCTCCACGTTAGGCAAAGATTTGGTGGCTTGATTTAACTCCACCTGTACTGCACTGTTTTATGATGCTGTCATGTGAGAGGGTGAAAGGTACTTTGAAAGGTGGTACTTCCACTAATGCCACACTGACCCAGTACTACATTAGAGAATATGGTCAAGTCCAGGAATGGGGTATGAACTCAGTTTTCTAACTACAGAATGGAGAGTTCCACCTGTGAGTCAAGGCCAGGAACAAATGAAAAATTTCTTCATGTGGTTGATGTAGGAACATGGAAAAATAGCAATTATCATGTGGAAACCCTGGGTAGGCGGCTTGCGATACTCCATTGTAGTGACTCAAATACAGTTGTGCTGCTCAGGATGAAAGGACCAGTGGTAAGACTGATGTTAGACCCTGCATTGATGGATAATGTAATGGTGTCTTTACCATAATCCTTGTTCATCAGGTTTAATCATAATGCTTCAGAGAAGTTTCTCTCCAGTCTTCTGAATGTCAGCATGATGGACGAGGGTGACTATGGAATCTTCATCTGCCTCATAAGAAAAGGATCAGCAACCTTCACATTACAAAGAGATTGTGAGTCATTGTGAGACTGTGGCTAGTGTCAATATTAATCACAGAAGTGTTATGGCACGGAGGAGGCCATTCTGTCCATCATGTCTGCACTAGCTCTTCAAATAAGTGTCAATCCTTAGTGTGATCTCCTGGTTTTCCCCCTATCCTTGCTCATTGTTTCTGTCCAAATAATTGTCCAATGCCTTTTCAAATGTTTCATTTGAAACAATCTCCACCGTACTTCCTGGCAGTGCATTCCATGGTCTAACTACTTGCTGTGTGAAAATGTTTTACTTGCATCTCATTTTGCTCCTTTTGCAACTCACTGTAAATCTATGCCCTCTCATTCTTGTTACTTGTATGAGCAGGAAGAGCTTATTCTGATCTACTCTATCCAATCTGTATCAGGTATCAGATATCCTCTTAGTCTTTTTCTCTCCAAAGAGAACATTCCAAACTTCTTCATTCCATCCTTATGATTGAAGTATCTCAGCTCTGGAAACATTCTTGTAAATTACTTCTGCACTCACTCTGATGTGTTTACATCCTTCTCATAATGTGATGCCAAAAATATACTCTAGCTGAGGTTTAGCATCACCTCTTCGCACTTGTATTCTATACTCCTTTTCATAAAACCAAGGGTACTATATATTTTGTTAGCTGCTGTCTCCGTCTGCCCTGATATTTGCAATGATCTGTGCCCAAACCCCCAGGCCTCTCTACTCCTGCACCCCCTTTAGATTTGTATCCCCTATTTTATATTGTCTTTCAATGTTCTTCCTACCAAATGCATCGCCTCACACCTCTCTGCATTGAATCTCATCTGTCACCTATCCACCCACTCCTGCAGCTTGGGGAAATAAAAGACTCCATTGACCATAACTCTCTGTTTCCTATCGCTCAGCCAACCATGAATCCATGTTACCACTGTCTCTCTTATTCCATGGCTTGTAACATTCCTCACAAGTCTGTTGTGTTGCATCAGATGCCTTCTGGAAGTCCATGTATACAATATCAACAGATTAATCCTTATCATTACCTTCCTGTTACTTCCTCAAAAAACTCCAGCAAATTAGTCAAACATGATTTTCTCTTCAGAAATCCATGCTGACTCTTCCTAATCACACACCTATTTCCATGTGATTACTAATTCTATGCTAAATAATTGTTTATAGAAGCTTCCTCACCATGAAACTAAGTATCAATTTTGAGGCGGCACAGTGGCTCAGTGGTTAGCACTGCTGCCTCACAGCGCCAGGGACCTGGGTTCGATTCCAGCCTCGGGCGACTGTGTGGAGTTTGCACATTCTCCCCGTGTCTGCGGGGATTTCCTCTGGGTGCTCCGGTTTCCTCCCACAGTCCAAAGATGTGCAGGTTAGGTGGATTTGCCATGCTAAATTGTCCGTAGTGTTCAGGGAGATGTAGATTAGGTGGGTTATAGGGGGATGGGTGTGGGTGGGATGCTGTGAGGTTCGGTGTGGACTTGTTGGGCCGAAGGGCCTGTTTCCACACTGTAGGGATTCTATGATTCTTTCTGATGGATATAAGTCCTACTGTTTTCCTGTCTTAAGAGATGTGCTTGATACAGATAGAGGAGCTTAACTGTACCAGACTTGGAAGTGCTTGATTCAAACAAAGTACCTGGTATGGAAAGTACCCATACTTCAGACTTTCATTCTTCAACTTGATCAATAAAAATTCACAACAGTGAAATTTATTTTAAACGATGCAGCCGCTGCTATGGAGGGCCAGTATCTGGGGAGCAGCAAAGTATTTCATTCCGATTGGGCTGAGAAATGAGAACTCCAGATAGCCCATTTTATTTACAGTGCTTCTTTTAGCCAGGTAATGTAAGAGTGCTTTATGACCTATTATTTACTGTGTTTCTCCTGGTTGTAGACAATGCTAGCCATGTGCCAGCTCTACTGGGTGCTTTCCTGGTGCTATTTGCATTGCTGCTGGCTGGATTACTGTATGTGAAGTGTCGGCTAGATCTGCAACTCTGGTACAGAAATAAATACGGAGAATTTGAAGTGAATGGTGAGTTTTTTTTTTTAGGTTTTTTGACAATGAAAACTTGAGAATGATCCTATGCCTCAGCAACTTCTCTTTGAAAATCTGGTAAAATCCTATTCCAAAGCAAAATCCTGTTACTGCTGAATGTTGTGATATGTGTCACTGAAAGTATGAGAGTATACCTTTTAAAAGACATGCCCATGATAACATCATAGCATATGACCTGAGGGTATATATTGTTCCATACTCCATCTAGCCTTGGGATCACTGGAAGCATGACATGCTACCAGAAGCATGTATTCTACTGTATTCTAATGGCTCCATGTTAGCCCAGGCATCTACGTGTCTGAGAAATGTCATATTTGTTGGCTGTTTTAAAAAAAAATCTGTTGGATTCTTCAGTACCACAATATCCATGACCAGTTTCTTATTTGTGGGAGTTATCATTATGATTGCCAAATCGAGGAAAATATCCCACTTGAAGTAAACTCGCATCACTGGAAATCTGAAATACAAATAGAAAATACCTGGAAATGTTCAGCAGGTGCGATAGTGTCTGTTTGGAAAGTAACCAACATGATGTTTTGAGTCGATAACCTTTTGTCAGTTCTGATAACACGTTGCAACATTAACCATTTGTCTCCACATACGGTCTGACCCCCTTAGTGTGAGTGCCTGATTTCTTTATAGCTGACCAATGTTCTCTCCCCCTATTCTGTAAACATGAACTCTTGGTGTAGGTTTTGACCTGCCTTACCCACCAGTCCTCAGTTTCTCCATCTAAAAAGCTGTCCTTCAGTTGTGCTGTTATAAATTGTGTGTCAGTGGAGCACTTTATTATGGCACTGCAACAGCCAAGTCCCATCAAGCTCTTGCATACACGTTCCAGTAGGGCCCATTGGGTAGTAACCAGGAACATTGGATAATTGTCTTGCTCCTGACCCATACCACTGCAGCAGATTATAGTGTTCTGGCTGAAATTAGCTACCAGACCTTAATCAGAGAATGAAGCTAGAATCTTGCTGGTTCAGTACTATACCTAGAAGTGCATTAGCCTACAGAATAGCTGGAAATAAGAAGTTAGACTTGTAATTATATTTCTATTCTGTCACGGTGCATAATAATGCATAGTACAGTTAAAGTTGAAACTCATCTACCTTCTGTAAATGTTTTGTACATCAAGGATCACAGCTCAAAACCTAACTCAAACAATAAGAGAAATACAAGGAACTGTTTTTCATAATTTGTGTATATAGAGTAAGTCTGTTGGCAATTTTGGAAGAATTGATAGTTGGAAATGAATTACCAGATGGAAGAATTTGGATAATTTATATACAGAATAATGGACACTATTATTTACTGGGTAGTATTTAGTTGAAAGTTCTGTTTGTTTATACATTAAGAAAAATCAATAATTTTATGCATTATTGGGGACCAGTACTTGAAGTCAACTGGGGCAGAATCTTATAGTAGTCTGAGTGATGTGGGCTATTGTAAAGACCGTGTATTTTTACTTTAGTTTTGGTTGTGGACCTGAATTGAGAAAAGGACAGTTTTACAATAAAGGACCAAGGAAGCAATTGCTGTAGTTTTAAAAAGCAGGTTGCTGAAAATAATTGCAAGTCGCAACATGACTGCTTTATTCAAGCAGTGTAGATGGCCCAGCATCAAGGGATGTGTACAAACTGAAATTCAACTGTTAACAAGTAGCTGATTGGTTTTTGGAATTGTGACCAGTTGTGAATGCCAAACAATATCAACCGGATGACAAATCTCAGGTTAGCTGAACAGCTTGTGGGTGTGAATAATAGTGAGAAGTCCTTGGACCTCTGGAAGTGGAGGCGGTGTCTCTTTACTTCGCTGCAGTGAAAGACCTGAAGCTAAAGAAAGCCAGTTGCTTTTTCCCACCAGTTGTTGTAAGTTGTCACTTATAAACAATGGGTTAGAGACTTTATAATTTGTGAATCAGTTGCTCAGTGCTTCCGTGAAGAAGGTAATGAACCTGAAGGAAAAGATCAGAGAAGTGAATGAATTTGGAAACAAAAAAAATCTCATCAGATCCTAAAGATTGGTGCTATTGAACTGTTTCCCCAGCACTTTATTCCCTCCATCTATAGCACCAGTTTTATTTTCTGTCTGTGCTTGTCTGTATATATGTAGGCATCCCTAGCTAGGCCAGCATTCGTTGCCCATTCCTAATTGCCCACGGGGCAGTTAAGAGGTTGTTGACTTGCTTGCTGAGCTGGTTTGTTTTCATCCAGACGTTTCGTCACCAGGCTAGGTAACATCATTAGTGAGGCCTCCGATGAAGTGATGTTGTTCTACTCTGCTTGGAATTTATACTGTCTGGTCCATTATGGTGAGTAGTGTCATTTTGGTTTTGTTCTGTAGAGGTTTGTATATGGAGTCCAATTCTATATGTTTGTTGATTGATTGCATTATGGGTTGAGAACCAGGCCTCTAGGAATTCCTGTGCATGTCTATGTTTGGCTTGAGATATAAATTCCAAGCAGAGTAGAACAACATCGCTTCATCGGAGACTTCATTGATGATGTTACCTAGCATGGTGATGAAATGTCTGAACGAGAACAAGCCAGCTCAGTGAGCAAGTCAACAACCTCACCCACAACCCGAGCTACAGATCTTTGCTAAAACCTTAAGGACAGTTACGAGTCAACCACATTGCTGTGGATCTGGAGTTACATGTAGGCCAGACCAAGTAGGGCAGCAGATTTCCTTCTCTAAAGGACATTAGTGAACTAGATAGTTGTTTTTTTTCTGACAATTGGCAATCGTTTCATGGTTGTCGTTAGGCTCTTATTTCCAGATTATTATTGAATTCAAACTCCATCAGCCATGGCGGGATTCAAGCCCAGGTCCCCGGAACATTTCCTGGGTCTCTTGGCAGAGATAGAAAAGTGCTGGCAAGTCAGTTCAGTGGTCTTTGCGTCCTGATTTTGAGATGATTCTACTTTGGCTAGCCAGGCCATGGGTGTTCAATTGCCTTTCACTAGATGTCCCAATGGTTTGTATGAAATTTCCCTTGGAAAATGTCTCTGATTTATTGATTCAAAAGTCACAGCTCACAGCAACTGCTGCATGTAAGGTAATTGATTTTCATTAAGTTTAAACCGAGTTTTGTTTTACTGCGGTGAACCAGCAGATTCTGCTGTGGAGAACAATAGTACACTTTCTGTGTCTTTCTGTCTCTGTGTTTGTGATCTGTGACTTTTTTTTCCAGTCTCAACCTGCTTAGTTAGCTGAGAAAAAATCAATTTCACTTGCAAACAGCTCTGTGGCTGCTGATAGTCTGCACGTTGCAGGAACCAATGGTGACAAAAAGCAGAATTTACTATCGGTATTGAATTCCTTGCTGCGAAATTATTTACCTTTTGGTAAATCATTTGTTTTAATAACAAGTTTTTCTCCTTGCAGTTCCAGTTTTATATAAGTGTGGATTGGTTGGTAGTTGTACCTTCTTTTGACAGTGGGTTCAGGTTCAGTGTGTTGTTTTTCAAGTCTGATTGGACCTTATTTATTGTAAGAGGAATGTCAGACTGAAACTGTCTGTGTCATAAGAAAACTAGCAAATGACCTGTGAAAATGAGACAAAGCTTCCTGTTCAACAAGTATGTTTTATTGTAAGAGCAGAAATGTAAATACCTCATCGTTTTTCTCTTCCCAGATGGGAAGTTGTATGATGCTTATATATCCTATGTGTCTGCTGATGATGACCGCAAATTTGTCAACTTCATCCTGAAGCCACATCTGGAGAACAGATATGGATACAAGCTACACTTGGATGATCGTGACATTCTTCCAGGATCAGGTGCCTCTTTTTTTTACACTAATTGGGAGACTCAGTGCGTGAGGCCCAACAGCCTATCAGTATCAAACATATCCTAGAGTCATGGGTTACATTGCTTATGGGGTAATGATATCACTGAGGTTTTGGAATAAAGTACCATTTGTTGTCACAAATACCTTACCTGTTCCTGTGTGGAATTGGACAGGGAGTATCAGCTGGTAAATTGACAGTGGAGTGCATTTAAGTCAGAATCAGTTCATCTTATGGAATTGCAGCAAGAGTCATTGGACATTGATCAGGAACAGAACACTTGGCTGAGTTTGTCTGTTCCTATCAGAGGGTATTCAGACTTGAAACTGTGGTAGCATGCCTTTTAGGTGTTACCATGTGGGGTGTTCTGGAGCTGCTAACATTTCTCAGTCTTCAATTCTGTCTACAACCTCAAAGTTTTTACATCCAAAGTGTTATTTAATTGGATGTTCCATTGGTTTATATATTAAGGCAAATTCATTAGATTGAAGTTTCACTGGGGAGCAGTACTTGTAGACATTGAGCCTGAGACAGCTGTAAAAAAGTAGTTTCAATTTTCCAACTCCAAATTCCTTTCAAATGTTGGGTGTAGGAAACGTTATAGAACTATCGATCTAATCAAGTTGGGTAATTAGAATTAAATAAAAATGAATGATTGCAATACCTGATACTCCGAGAGGTCAGGAGGAAATAATAGAATCCACACTGCAGGACTAGTACACATCTGAATCAACATAGTTGTTACATATACTTATTTGTATAGAACCTCCTTGTTGTAAACTTATATGCTGCAACCAGTCACTGTGATGTACTGCTTCTTCACTAGTTTACTTTTGACTACTGTTCCTCTCTTGATCTAGAGCCCTCAGCAGAGCTGATAATGAACATTAGTCGCTGCCGCCGTCTGATTGTAGTGCTGTCCAAAGCATACCTGGAACAGGACTGGTGCAGGCTGAACTTTAGGTATCTTCTACACTATTGAGCTGAGGAAAGGCTAGGGATGATGGAGAGTGATGTATTCAGTATAGCCACGAGGAAATGTGTACAGGAAACATGTCAGGATATAAATTAGTGATTTAATATGTTCTAGATCTCTAGTACAATTAGTGTGTGCAAAGCATATAGATGACTGTTTTAGGTAGAACTAAGATTGGATTGGTTAGTGTACATTCTGCTTTTTTTATTCAAGGGATGTGGGCATTGCTGATATTTATTGCCCAGAGGGCAGTTAAGAGTCAACTACATTGCTGTAGGTCTGGAGTTGCATGTAGGCCAGACCAGGTAAGGACATTAATAAACCTGATAGGTTTTTCCTGACAATTGTCATTGTCAATGACAATGATTTCATTATCATCTTAATTCCAGGTTTTTATTGAATTCAAATTCCACCATCTGCCATGGCAGGATTTGAACCCCGATCCCATGTCATTAGCTGAGTCCCTAGATTAATAATCTAGTGATAATATCACTAGGCCATCGCTTCCCCTAATGATTTGTGCCATAGAAATTGTTCAATATTTTGACAGTTGACTTGTCTTTTGCAGGGAAGCTCTATGGCAGTTGATGGATCTCTCCAGGAGGCCCATCTTCATCATGTTTGAAAGCCAGTACAGGGAACTGTCTCACCCAGCTATTCAACTTCTCAAATCACAAAGGAAAAGCTTTACTCTCCTACTGTGGACTTCCACATCAATGGTACGTTGGTTGAACCTTAGAGCTAAATGTAACTGTCATCAGGCCAAATGGAACACTTCTACACTGTGTATCCAGAAACCTAAAACACTAGCACAGAAAAAGAGACAGATTGTGAATATACTTTTCTTTGGTAGTTTAGCCAATGAGGATAAATTATTCAAGTTGAAACTGGAAAATAGAAATGAGGCATAATGATGACAGCGTGGGTTCAATTCCCACATCGGCTGAGGTTACCATGAAGGACACTCCTTAATCTCTCCCCTCACCTGTATGTGGTAGCCCTTACTTTAAACCGCTATCAGTCATCTTTCTTCAATAAGAGAGAACCTCTATGGTCCAACAAGACTTGCTGGAAGTCCCAAAGAAATGAATATTGGATTGGGAACAGGGTGAATAAAATTAACTTCAGTAAAAATTGGTACTGAGAAAATTAATGTAATTTAACAGTGATAAATCCCTGGACTTGACGGTTTCCATCTGAGTGTGTTTAAAGTAGGGGAACACATTGTAGACACTCTAACTATAATCTTTTATAGATCCCTAGATTGGAGAATCATCCCGCTGATTAGAAAATTGAACATGTCATTCCACTTTTTAAACAGGGCAAAAGAGGAAAATCAGGGAATTACAGAACAGTTGACCTAACATTTATGAGTGGGGAAATTGTTGGAGTCTATAATCAAGGATAAGGTAATTGAGCATCTTCAAAAGTTTCACTTAATCAGGGAGAGCCAGCATGGATTCTTGACAGGTAGGCCATGCCTGAGAAATCTCACTCAATCATTTGAAGAGGTGACTCAGGTAGTGGACAGGGGCATGTCTATGGATGTTGTTTATGTGGAAGGCATTTGATAAAATCACACATAACAGAATGTTAACTAAGGTAGAAAGCCACAGAACTGAGGGCAAATTATTAACATGGGTGGGAAACTGGTTGACTGGCAGGCGACAGAAAATAGGGATCTTGAGTATGGCTCAAACTGGTAGGCTGTGACCAGTGGTGTTCTATGAGGATCTGTGTTAGGGCCTCAAATATTCACACTATTTTTTAACAACTTGGGTAATGGCACAGAATTTCATTTATCAAAATTTGCTGATGACACAAAGTTAGGCAACATTGTAGACAGTGTAGATGATAGCATAACATTACCAAGGGATATTGATAGACTAAATAAGTAGGCAAAACTGTGGCAGATGTGGAGTTCAATGTATGCATGTATGAGTTTATCCATTTTGGACTAAAGGAGGATACATAAGGGTACTTTCTAGATGGCATAAAGTTAAATATCATGGGAGCCCAAAGGGACTTGGGTGTTCAGGTTCATAGAGCTTTAAAATAGCATGAACATGTGCAGAAAATAATCAAGAAAGCTAATGGAATGTTGGCGTTTATATCTAGAGGACTGGCATAGAAAGATTCAGTGGTTGTACTGGTTAGACTCCACTTGGAGTACTGAGAGCAGATCTGGGCACCACACCTCAGGAAGGACATGTTGACCTTGGAGGGAGTACAATGTAGGTTTGCAAGATTGATACCTGGACTTCAGGGGTTAAATTATGAGGAGAGATTATATAAATTAGGCCTGTTTTCTCTAATTTTAGAAGATTAAGGGTGATCTGATTGAAGTATTTACAATATTTACAGGAAAAGACTGGGTAAATAAAGGAAGTATTTATATTGGTTAGGGATTCTAGAATTAGGGCCAGACCGATCAGGAGAAAAGATAGGAAACACTTATACATGCAAACATGCTAAAAGTTTGGAAATCTCTACCACAAATGGCAGTGGATCATTTATTTTAAAATCTGAGATAGATATATTTTTATTAAGTAAAGATATTAAGGAATATGAGCTAAAGGCAGAAATGTTGAATTAGGCCACAGATTAGCCATGACCTCACTGAATGGTGGAACAGGCACAAAGGGCTGAATGGCCTACTACTGTTCCTATGACAATGGTGACTGTATACAGTCAAAGTGTGACACTCTGTACCAAGTGTCCCTCACTTGTGCACCCACCTCAAGCCGAAAGACCAATCCAAGTTCAAAGAGGAACAGTACTGAACATTCCTGAAGATGAGCAAACCTGGCAAAGTTACAAAACTGATCTGGCACCCAAACGCAGGGTGCAGTATAAAGGAAGAAATTGGCAGAAATTCATTGCAATGGTTGAGGGAAATTTTTATCTTCAGAAAAGTCAAATAGGCAAAATTGCCTGGATTAAGAGCTCATGAAATGTTTACAGATAATTTTTTTCGAGCAGTGTATTATGGAGTCAACCGGAGAACAGGCTATACTAGTGCTATAGTATTGTGCAGTGCTATAGGATTAATTGTCTCATAGTAAAGGCACCTTTTAGGCAGCACCAACCATAATAAGATTGAATTTTGGATTCTGTTTAAGGGAGAGACCAAGTGGGTTCATCACTATTCTTTTAAACTTAATTCCCCTTATTTAAGAGGGCACAAAAGCACAGCTGGCTAAAGTGAATTGACCAATTAGGTTAAAGAATAAGTCAGTAGATATGGAATGGGAAACATAAAGGGATAATTTGAGGATATACAGCATAAATTCATATAAATGAATAAGAAAAAATTCCGTTAACTAGAAATATCAAGAATAGTATCATACTAAAAGAAAATAATTGTGCAAAGTGGAAGATCAGATATTTCAACAGAATATAAAAACAGCAAAGAAAGAATGACCCAAGGGATTAATAAAGAGGGAAAAGTTTTAGTATGAGAAAAAGTTATCCAGAAACACAAAACAGATAATAAGAGTTTCTATGAATATTTGAAGACCAGTTAACAAAATGAGTGTTGGTCCCATGAAAAGTGAGACTGGAGAATTGATCATGGGGGTGGGGGAGAAAAGGAAATAGGTGAATCAAAGAACTATTTTGCGTTGAATCCACTATAGAAAATACAAGTAATATCCCAGAGGCAGCAATTAAATCAGAAAATTAAAGGGATAGAGGAAATCAGGGAATATCACAATCACCAGGGAAGTAGAACTGAGTAAATTGTTGGAACTGTGGACTAACAGGTCTCTGGATCTTGATGGATTAAATCCTAGGGTCTTAAAAGAAGTGCCTAATGAAATAATTGATGCACTGGTTTTAATTTTCCAAAACCTGGTTGATTCAGAAATGATCCCATCAGGTTGGAAAATAGCAAATGCAATTATTCAAAAAGGAAGGGAGACAGAAAGCAGGAAACGATTGATTGGTTAGCTTAAAATCTATCATAGGGCAAATGTTATGACAATTTATTAGATAATTTATGGAAGGGTACTGAGATAAATTCAATGTAACCAGACAGAATCTCTCTGGCAGAGAAATGGTGTTTGACCAATCTGTTGGAGGAGGTAACACATGCTGTGAATAAAGGGGAACCAATGAATGAACTGTACTTAGATTTCTGGAAGGCATTTGCTTGGTGCCACATAAAAGATCATTTTGGAAGTTAAAAGCTCACGGTGTGGTGGCTAGTGGTACAGTAGTAAATAATAGGAACTAGAGACAGGCAATAAATGGGTCTATTCCAGTTTGGCAAGATGTAACAAGTATTGTGCCACAGGCATCGGTGCTGGGACTTAAATTGTTCACATTCATTTCAGATGAAAGGACAGAAGGTATGGTTGCCAGGTTTGCTGATAACACAAAAGAGATAGAAAGTGAACTGTGAAGAAAACATAAGGAAGCTGCAGAAAGTTATAGACTGTTAAATGAGTGGCCAAAGATCTAGCTAATGGGGTATAATGTTGAGAAAAATTGGAATTGTCTATTTTAGAAGGAAATAGTATTATTTAAATGTTGATATATTACAGAACTTTGCAATGCAGAGGGTTCTGGGTGTCCTCATAGATGAATCACAAAACTGTAGGGTAAATACTTGAAGGGGCAGCACATAATTAGGGACGCTAAAGAATGTTGAGCTCATGGAGTGCAGTGAGTATAAAAACTAACTTACCTTGGGAATTTGCGCCTTTGTTTCCATGCAGCGGGGTCAGAGGGAGGAGCACACAAAGTGACTGAAACCAAACTGAGAAAGTGGTAGGAAATCAATCCTAAATTTGAAAAAAAAACTGCAAAAATAATTAACTAACCAGGGATTAACTAATTAATAAATCAATTAACTAAGTCGAGATGGCTGGGCAGGTGATGTGCTGTAGCTGTATGATGTGGGAGCTGGCTGTCTCATTGCGAGCTGCAGTGACCACATCTGCAGCGAGTGTTGGTTGCTGGAGGAGCTTTGGCTCAGAGTTGATGAGCCAGAGTCCGAGCTTCAGACACTGCAGCACATCCAGGCAGAGGAGGGTTACCTGGACATATTTTTTGTTTCAGCAAGCAATCATACCTGGTAGATTAAATACCTTTAAATTCGGTCAGTGGTCAGGGACAGCAGGGTATAACTGCAGTGAGGCGGATAGAGGGATCCTGCATTCAGGAACAGAGGAGCCAGAGCTCTTGACCTTGTCCAACAGGTACGAGGTACTTGCTTCCTGTGTGGATGAGGAACAGAGCTGCAGGGAGGATAAGCCAGCTGACCACTGCTCCGTGGCACAGGAGGCCATTAAAGAGGGGGGAACAAAAAGACAAGTAGTAGTTGTATGGGGTTTTGTAATTATGGGAATAGATAGCATCCTTTGTAAGCAGGATCGGGAGTCTGGCATGGTGTGTTGCCTGTCTGGTGCCAGAGTGAAGGACGTCTCTGACCAGCTTGAAAGGATACTGGAGAGGGAAGGGGAGGATCCAGTTGTTGTGGTCCACGTCGAGACAAACAACATAAGCAAGATGAAGAAAAAGGACCTGTTTAAGGATTATCAGGATTTAGGAACTAAATTAAAGAAAAGGTCCTCAAGGGTTATAATCTCTGGATTACTAGTCCACATTACAAGTGCAAATTGGCATAGGGGCACGAGAATAAGGGAAGTAAACACGTGGCTAAAAGAGTGGTGTGGGAAGGAGAGGTTCCCTTTCATGGGGCGCAGGCTTCAGT